GCACCTGCCAGCTAAAACAGGCCCCGTGCGGCTCCGCAGAGCAGGTGTGCGGGCAAACCGCACACTTTGCGCGTAGTAGTAGTAGTAGTAGTAGTAGTAGTAGTAGTAGCAGTCGTAGTCTAGTAGTAGTCTAGTCATAGTAATCGTTGTTGTTGCTGTTGTTGTTGCTGTTGTTGTTGTTGCTGTTGTTGTTTCTTTGTTGTCTCTTTGTTGTTTCTGTTGTTGTTGTTGTTCTTGTTGTTGTTGTCGGTGGTGGTGGTGGTGCTGCTGCTGCTGCTGCTGCTGCTGTTCGTGTTAATTGTTTTTGTTACTTGTGTTAACGTCGTTGTGATAGTTGTTGTTTGTCGGTGTGGTGTTGGTTGTTGTCGTTGTTGGTTGTTGGTCGTTGGTCGTTGGTTGTTGGTTGTTGGTTGTTGGTTGTTAATTGCTGGTTGTTGGTTCTTGGTTGCCGCTTGCTGCTTGCTGCTTGCTGCTTGTTGCGTGTTGCTTGTACCTGTTGTTCGTTGCTTGTTGCGTGTTGCGCGTTGCCTGTTGCCTGTTGCTTGTTGTTTGTTGCTTGTTGCGTGTGTGTTGCGTGTTGTGTGTTGTGTTGTGCAGTGTGAGTGTGTGCTGTGTGTTGTGCAGTGTGTGTGTGTGTGTGTGTGTGCGTGTTATGTGTTTTGTGTTGTTTGTTATTTGCTATCTATTGCTAGTTGTTTGTTGTGTTTTGTTTGCTGCTTGTCGTTTGTGGTTTGTGGCTTGCTGTTTGCTGCTTGCTGTTGTTCGTTGTTTCTTGTTTGTTGTTTCTTGCTGGTTGTTTGTTTGTCGTTTGTTGTTCGTTGTTTGTTGCTTGTTGTTTGTTGCTTGTTGCTTGTTGTTCCTTGTGTCGTGTTCTTGCTTATTGTTTAATGTTGCTTGTTGCTTGCTGTTTCTTGTGTCGTGTTTACTTTCAATTGTTTGATGATTGTTGTATGTTGCTTGCTTTTTCTTGTGTATTGTTTGTCTTTGGTGTTTGTTGGTTGTTGCGTCTTATTGTGTTGCTCATGTCCTACTTGTTGCCTGTTGTTTATCTGTCATGTTTGGGAATGTTATACTGCTGTTCTTGTTGTCGTTGTCGTCGTCGTCGTTGTTGGTGGTGGTGGTGAGGGGGTGGTGGGGTGGTCAGCGGTGCACAGGTGCTTCAGCGCTGGTAGTTCTGTAGTGCTGTGGTGCTGTGCGAGCAGAGGTAGTGGAAGACCTGTTACTTGAGCTGATGACTTCAAAAAGTACCAGGAAAAGTGGGAGCTGGACGTGGATGTTCCTAGCGACTCTGAGCTCCGGTCCGCCGTGTCCCACATGTCTCGTGTGAGGCCTTTGGGACAAAACCTTGGCAACATGAACAGCAGTTCTGCATTCAACCCTTCGGCTCATGTACGCACACCGTCGCCTCAGTCTAACTAGTTCATGGAATGACTTCGCGATGACACTGCAAATCGCGCGATGCCACTATGTCGTCATTACTGCTGCTATTTGCCGTCTTGCCGACTCAGCTAAATCAAACATCAAAGATTCGACCTTGGCTGCGCTACTCCTCCGCCTGCTCAAGAATTTGCTGCAGCAAGTAAAGAACTACCACCATAAGGACAACACGTAACGCTGACTGCAATGGCAACCAATACTTCTGTAACAATGAGGACGACTCGACTAGTAGACAGCAACCAGAGCAAAGCTACAGTACGCTAACACGCTGTTGCGACAGTGGGTGCCGCAACAACTGGAGAACTGGGCGGCAGCACAACCCTACTGCTTACGACCGTCACCACATGTCACGACCCCGGATGCATTAACTGTTAATTGACTGACGGATGCCCTTGATGATGCCAGCTTCATGCAGCTGAAGCTCACCGCCGTAGCACCCAACTCGGCGGCGTCAGAGCAGTGCTTTGGCCTGTTGCGGACCAGAAACCGGAGGACATCTCTCAACCTTCCGTGGCCGATCTTGCAATCGCCTGGACCTTGAAAGGGCGACAATCCCTACAAGGTGGCACTTCTCAATCCAATCGTGCCGGAGTGGCTCATTGTCGAAGAAGAGGAGCTCAGAGGCCACGCATGGGACACGTCGGAGGATGCGTCTGCCCATGGTGAATTTCGAACACCGAGCAAGGCCCAGCAATCAGCTCGGGTTTGACTCATTCCGCACATCGAGGCAAGATGACAGAACACGGCGGACAAGACTGTGAAACCCTCATCCCACCTCAAAAGATCTTGCTTACGTCGGCTCCTGCGAGAAGTGAACGACAAGGCATTGATTTGTAGGCTCCGCTCGCCTCCCGTAGAACTTCAAGTCAACGAGATCATCGAGACATCGCCTGCAGGACGAGAAAACAGCCAGGCACTGCGGCATCGCTCTGAATTGTTCAGGTGCCACCTTCACACAGAAATCTCAACAGCCTGTGACATCTGGGTGCGACAGATTGTATCAGCCCAGACCGAGCTCAAAGCCCATCTGAGAACTCGAAGGCCTGTAGCTCAACGGCACTGTCAAATTCATGTGATGGGGTATCGGGTCAAACGGAACTGCTGGTGTACACAATAAGATTCTTGAGTCCAAGTGCTTTCAACACTCTGAACTGCTCCTCAGCTTTGCTCAATGGTCATGCTGCAGCAAAATGTAATAGCAGGCCGCAGCCACCAGAAACATGGAGATGCAATTGCAACGGCTGCAGAAGATGTGTGGTTGAGTGCAGCGACGGCTTTTAGAATGACCATCAAAGGCACTCTGACCATGACCTGCATCAACTTCCTTGGATCCCTGGAACAGATCTCTGTCACAATGGGCCCCCTCTCGTACCGAAATGCCCGAGCCTTCAGGCAGGCATCTGCCCATCCAGACTCCTAGCTAACAAGCTGGCTGACAGGAACGCCGCGAACTAGCCAATGCACCAAGTGCTCGTGCGACGAACGGCATTAATCACATCCTGCAATCCTCGTGAATTAAAGTCAATATTACTAGCAGCTAATCGCTAATGAAGACCCTGACAAGGGCCATCATGTGATCCAGCATTGAAAGTCCGTCCTGCCTGAAAGATTAGAAAGATAGGCTTCACCACGTGTACGAATACACATCAATCACAGATGTAATTACTTACAGAGGACCTCCTTCCGCAATAGGGATTACAATCAGGATCCTGTTACGTTGCATGAAGCCGCCTTGGGAGCGGTGATAGTTTCAGGTTCATAACGAGATAACACCTTGTAGTGGCGAGAGCCGCATCTCCTTTCAGATCTTTCAGCAGCCGCACCAACAGTCATCACCGCTGCTAGCTGCCGTGAGCGGCTCTCCACAAAGGGCACTGGCTATTGCCTGAGGCATCGTACAAGATGGCCACAGCCAAGACAGATTGAGGAAAGACGGCACCCAACATCTTCAACCCAATCTTTGAGAAGCGAAATTTCTGCAAGTCTTCGTGTGCAAATGCTGGCAAATCCTCTCCGACTGCACAGGGTCGGCAAATTTCTGTCATGCATCTACATGAAGGACTTGACGTCCTCGCAGCAGGATGCCACAGCGAGCAGTGCACCATGGCAACCTTGAGTATCAAGGCTTGCTGCATCAGCTGCATACCTGACCTTGTGCAAGTTGTCCGAGTTGACTGGCAGTTTCTATCAGTTTTCCAAGCTTCATGTGACAGGCGATGGAACAATGCAAGACTCACGTCACGGATACGTCGGATACGGCAGTCTACGCATCACCACCTGAGCACCACCTGGCTGCAGGTGCAGAGCTTAGCTTCGCACGCCCGCCGACCGGCACGATGTCAGCCAGCGCCTTTACAACAGGCAGTAAGCAACATGATTCGAATCGGCACGGACACACCAAGGGAGGCCCTCACAAACTGTGGGAGAGGCGCCCGCAAAACTCCGTCATAAAGCTGAACATGCTCCCCCCGTCGATCCTGGGGCACAACTGGACATCCTACTCCAACAAAGGAAAAAACAGAGCAATACACGCCAATCACTAATCGTCATGGACAGCAGGCCATCCACATGAAGCCTCTCGGTTAAGCAGCCGATCTAACTTGGACAGTCGAACAGATCGAACCTTTAGACTATCAGTATTCGGTTGAGACGACTTTTTGGATTCCACCTGTATGATGAGTGGCCAGCCTACTGGTGAGACCTGACCGCTGTTGTGAAACTTAGCCGGCAGCTTTCACAAGCTGCCCATCTGAATTCAATAGCACCCTTGACCATCTTGGCCATCTCTGTTGTCCAAAGCATGGGAGGACTGTGCAATGTCGGCTAAATTAACAGATCTTGGTGTTTTGCTGTGTCGGCACGGCTACACGTGCTTGCTGCATTGGCCAAAGGTTGGTGTATGTTGCTGGGAGATTGCAGGAAACTTCTCGCGACTACCTTACCAAGTAAAAAATGCTCCTCGCTGTCCATCCACTCCTTGGGGGAGAAAACACGTCCTGGACAAGGACAACTGATGCAGGACTGTGGCATAAGGCCTACACGGAAACCTTCCTGAATGTCGGATTTGACAAGCTGAGGGTCTGTTCTCTGCAGGTTTCTGGTCTGCCTCGAGCCGTATCAAGCCAGTCGTCCTCATGTCTATATACATCCAGAGATCTTGAGAAGGATCTTCTGGATTTGCTGCCACATGGTGATGCCCCGCGTCTTGCAAGGCTGGTGCTCATGAGCAGGAGCAGCCAATAAAGACCGTACATCACTACCCTGCACAGAAAACTCTGATGAATTGTCCGACAGTTCCTGTGCACTTCTGCTCGTGAAACTCGGCAACTGTACTACAGGCGAGTTTGAGCAACGGCCGGCCGGGAACCCGACCATTCTCAACTCGATAGTCCTAGCCCACTACAAACACGATGTCGAGCTCTTCCTCCGGCGAGACGGCTTTGGGTCCTTCCAATCTGCGAAGATCTGCAAAGTGCATGCTCACCTGACTGCGCATCCGCGATGCCTCGAGGCAATCGATCCATCTGTTCGCATAAAATTTGGGGCTTGTTATCGCCACACCTCAGGTTGGAATGCTCCGATTACGTGCACTTCCACTGTTTCTGTGAAGGCTGTTCACATGCTGTTGCCTGCGGATAAGTACTCCTTGGCCCGAGCGCCCGGCGAGAGGGTAATTTCACAATAATCAATCCAATAGACATCTGGAAGCCCCTTCAACACCAGATCCTCCGCAGCACGGGGAAAAAGCCACGTCTCTCGTTGTTGGGTGAGCACTATCTCTCACAGCCACAGTAACACTATTCATCTGAGTAGCTCTTGTAGAGCCGGTGGCAGGAACATCCTGCAAAGCAGTTCCCGCGTCGCACTGTTAGAATGCCTTTTCAACGCATGGAAACATTGTTCAACTCTCCTTCAGCTCATCGCCTTCACATGGAATTGCCTCGTGGAAGCATGCAGCACATGGCAGAGATGTCCTCTGGGCTTACTCCGAACCTTGAACCATGGCACAAGCCTCACCTCCGCATGGTTCAAACAGAACGCGACAGGAGGTCTCCAAGCCGCGTGCTGGTCTGAATCTCAACCACAGGAGTGGCAACCCCCGCATGAAGGCTTCGAGGTCTCAAAGCACGTGGAAGCCAAGGTGCAAGTGGAGGATCTGGCAACTCCTTCCATGTTGGGAACCAGCGTTACTCCACGTACTCTGCATTTTATGTCCACGCAGCCAGACGATTCGGAGACTGTAGTGTCACGTGCCAACCAAACATGCGAACGGTGTGAGGAAGGCACAGAAACTCGACGTACATGCGCTAATAATACTAATGCGTAAGCATAAACAGGTTACTTTCCGGCAACTGTAGACGGCAGCATCAAAGTTTCCGAATCCTGGAAGTTTGGAAACATGTTGTTACGGTTCGGTGAGACCGCATTCTTGAGTAATCCACGGCCTGTTTCGCAGTCTGTCATGGGAGTTCCAGCTATTGCGAGGAAGTTGCTGCTGCAGAGTAAATCTCATAAGCAAAACACTTCGCACCGATGTGCTTGATTGTGCTTTCGAGGACAGCAGTTGTAGCGCTGCGAGCCTCTGCGAGATGGTAGTCTATGCGAGAGATCACAGAAGACAGGGCTGCATCTCCCAGCACAACCCAGATGGGTTGCGGCCATGCCGACCCGCCTGAGAATTCATAAAGACAACAAGCCAACAATCTCCTGAAGGGCTAGACGTCCACCCTGAATAATTGAAGGCAGGCCATGTGCCACAGCACGAATCCTCGCAATGACTCCATCCCGAGGCACAAAATGTCCTCAAGCGGATCCGTAGACTCCTTCAGCAGCGCGGGCTGCAGATTCGGGGCCTCCGTCTTCAATCCATATTGGCTATGTACGTTTTTGCATGCTGCTATACGATTGAATACTTTGTATCGTCCTCGTGGACAGTGGGTGCATGCGACAATACACAAAGTCAGACTGTGTCGATGTGCGAATGTTGCACGAGACCTGAGGTGGACGTGACCACACCCGGCCTGCGCTGCCTGTTGTTTCTTCTTAGTCTTCTTCTTTTTTTCTGCTTTTCTCCTCGCCTGATCAAAAAGAAATGAATGGCATGGCATCAGACCCATACAGACGACAAGAGAGAGCACAACAGCAGGTCCCACAGTGGCTTCCATTGCAACACAGGCCTCCTCCTTCTTGCGCTCCGCCTCTTCCTCCTCTAGTCTCTTACGCTCCGCCTCTTCCTCTTCCTTCTTTCGTTCTTCTTCCTCCTCCTCCTCTTTCTTTCTTCTCTCCTCTTCCTCCGCCTCCTGGTGTTTGCACAGAACAGCGCGAAACCAGTATCAACACCAAAAGCCTGCCACGGGCCTTGCAGCGGCGATGCGAGAAGAAACGCGCCAGATGTCCTACCTGAACCTGAAAGACCGATTGCACCATCACAGTGTCGGCGCCTGCTTCCTCCTCTCCTCTTCCTCTCGCATATATTTTTCTCTTCTGGCCCGGCGGCGCCGCCTCAACAGCCGGTGTGTTCACAAGCTAGTCCCATCGCCGATCTTCTGACGCACACCACGTGCCTGACCACTACGAAGGTGACAACTCCTGTCGCCATTGCGCATGGGACTTGGGAACTTTCTCTTACTGTTGTCGACACACTCTGATGTCGCTTTCGACTGATTTTGGATGGAGCCCATGACAGTCAGCACAAATTTCCGCAACATCAGCACAGAGTCCTGCACCACAAACAATGGCCACAGAGGATGTTGCAGCGGCAATAGCAACGCCAACATCAACATCCGTCATGCGAGGAAGGTCGAGTCTCTTGGTTGGATCTGGCCAATGTGGGTCGGCAGTTCTGCTGGCATTGTTTCCAACTAAAGGTTGCTTGTCCATAGGACAACTGCACGAAAGCAGACATGCAAGGCTACCGACTTGGTGGGGGAGGCAATCTTGCTCAGAGCTACACGACATCTCTCGGATTCGATAATGCCTGGCTTTCTTTGAAGCCTATTGGCTGCGGAAGAAGTGATGGAGTTCAATGTCCTTTGTGCCCCTTCTTTGTCGGCTGCTCTCGGTGCACATCATCCGTCTGAGCTTCTGACACGCAAGGAGTTGTCAGTGCAGCGGTGGAAGGGCGCTCCTTGTGATGAAAACCCGGCGACCCCAGCTCTTACTGGAACCAGATGCAAAGTCTCTGACCTGTTCGAAGCTTTTACTTTGCAACTACTCGGTCATGGCACAGCTGGACAAGTGGCAAGTTGACGAATGGAGAGGTAAACTCGCCTTCGTGGACTCTGCAACAAAATGTACCCAGGCACTGTGCCACTGCCTCCACCGCCAGGCCATGAGACATGAAGCGCAAGGCCTGGCTCATCAGACGAACCACGTCGAATCCTCGAATCTTCTGATGTTCTGTCTGTGCGTCCGTTCGCATGGCCACATCTCGCGCGCCTTCTCCGCGCAGTTTGGCCATAGCCGGATGCCACAAACAGCCATCCAGATCGAAGGTCACACACCTTCTAAGGACACGAACATGGAAACACATGCAGCCAACTGGAAATGATTTTGCAACATCAGCTGTGGAGAGCCCTTTGACCAGCCTTGGTCGTGCCGCCCTTGCGGTGCGTCGTAGCTTGGACCAACTCGCCACGCCTTTGTCTGAGACTTTGCTAAAAGCTGCCATTCCCTGCAAGCCGCGACTGTACTGCTGCGACTCACCTATCCTGGGAGAAATTCAGCTTGAGACCAGCGGAAACTGCTATCTGCAGCCTCCATAGTTGAAGCTTTGTCCTATCAGGTATCGTTTCTCAAAGATCCTCAAAAGCAACAGCAGAACAGTCAAGAACTTGCCCGAAGCCGTCCATAGGAGCCTCGTGCACCAAAGCGGAGTTTCACGTGCACTTGCAGCCCAAATGGCCCCTGCACAGGAACGATTCTGCCAGACGGGATGTCTGAAGGTTTGAAAGCATCTCAACGTCATAGCCGCATCGCAAGCCTGCTCCAAGCCTTCGGGATTCTGGACCGGGCGCGGGCTTGCACAGAGAAGTCTGTAAGAGAAAGCCATGACTCAACATGTAAAGCTGCAGATGCAAGCAAGCGAGCGGATGTTTCCTGCTAGCTTCTGATAGGAGAGCTGTACGAGTCAACCACGTTTCTGACTTTGTGCAGTTTGGCTGCAAGTTAGTAATCACATGCAATGAGGAAACGGATCAATGCATGGAAGCACTATGAGCACAGGACCAACGTACCGGAACAGGCGGCACGTGTACGACTTGATGTTTCAGAAAGTTGTCCAGCAAGCTACGGGCTATCAAGCTTCCGCAGGTGACGCACCAAAGTCGCTGGAAATGAAAATTCCCACAGGAGCAGTACGAGCAGAGCAAGCCGTCCCATCACGTGCTTGGTACGACCTCCAGTTTTCGAGCATAAGCACAATGAGTTTACAACTTGATGGATTTGTCTGCCTGCGTGAATGCGTGAATGCGTGCCTGTGTGCCTGCCTGCCTGCCTGCCTGCCTGCCTGCCTGCCTGCCTGCCTGCCTGCCTGCCTGCCTGCCTGCCTGCCTGCCTGCTTGCTTGCTTGCTTGCTTGGAAACCGCGCGACCGGAACAAAAAACAAAATAA